TTGTTGCTAACAGCTAGATGTAGAAGCTGATTCTTGCCTTCTAAAAAACCTCCAGTATTAATTATGAGCAACTGTTTTCCTGTCTAATCTAATGTTCATGTGAATATTGTGAATGTTGATTTCCGAAGTCCTGGTCAGATACAGCAGCAGAAATGCAGACAATGAAACAGGTGGTTTTGATATTGGTCTTCTCCCCCCAGACGTCTGAGCATCTGAGCTCCTCACACAGTGTCTGGTCTGATTCACAATTCAGCGCTGCACTGGTTCTTGAGGTTGTGTTCTGCCTGGAGTTTGTCTTTTGGCAGGGAGGGCCAGAGGAGAGAGTGCACACTGTCTTAGCCATTTACTTGTCTGTAAATGTGCATGATTCTGCCTCTCACTGGCTTGCCTCTGTGATTTGATTATCTGGGCTTTTGTTGTTTGAACAAATAGAAGGTGCTCTGCTAGGAATTACATTTTGCACATCCCCATAGGACTAAAAATCCTTGGCCACAATTAAAGTGGAGACTAAGCATATGCAGCATGACATTCTTTCATCTACCCCACCCCAACACCTTTTTTTTTCCTTTCCTTTCTGTTCCTTCCTTTTAAAGTCTACTCCATTCCCTCAGGATTTCAGTCTTATTAACTAGAGCTTGGTGCACTTCGTGGCAATTATTTCTTTGAAATTTCTAGTAGTCTGGACTGACTTGCGTTTTCTCAATCCTTATTCTCCAACTTTCAACTAGTGTGGAAAAATATTGACTTATTGTTATACTAATAATGAATGTATCAAAGAAATTGTCACAGATGACCATGTAAATGTCCTAGTAATGTCAGTCCAGCTGTGCTCTCCAGAGGCCTTGGCTTCCCATTGTCTTATGCAGAGAGTACTAGCTGGAATTGAGTTTGTTTCAGATGTCATGGAAGAGGCGTGTTTCTGGCTTTAGCAGCTTGGGTGTCTACTCTTGAATCTTCAGCTGGCACATCTTTCTTGCAATAGCTGCAGTCATTAAGTTGTGCTCCTGGCAGTCTTCTTGGTCTCTGAAAAGCCACGTTCTACTTCTCAGACCCATATCACCTTGTCTTACAGAAAAGAACAAAAGGAATGCATTGGAGGATTCAGTTCTATATCATAAGAACAGCAGGAAAACATGTACCCCAGAGGTATCCTAATAGGGAAAGAGAACAGAAAACAATGCTGTCTGCTACAGCAGTGGCAGTAGAATGGTAGAGACACCAAATAGTTGGATATTTTGTGGAATATGTTCTATTTCTGATAATTACTGGCAGAACTAGCTATTGAAATAAAACTTAAATTATGCAGAATTTTGCAACTCACAGCCCATTGCTTACAACGTTGACCTAGTGTAGATGACTTTATCAGTGAATGCTTTTGGCACTTCCTGATGGCTGTCTTGGTTGCAAGATTAAACCTTTAAGTACTTCTTCAGAACAGCTCAGATCCTGAGCTGAGGTTTGTTCTGTGACTGGACATAAATTGCAATGCAGATGCTTTATTCCTTTCTATTGATTTGTCTCTTTATTTGTTCCAGAATGCTTTGGCCAAGCGTGTGTGTGTGGTGCAAATATCACTAGGCTAGAAAACAGTAACAAAGCAAAGGACTTCATGATGCTTTTAAGTAGATAAGTGCTATTTCCACTGGAGATAATTGAATTGAATATCTCCAGCACTGGAGATATTCAAAAGCCATGTGGACATGGTGCTAGGTGACCCTGCTGGAGCAGAGTGGTTGGACCACGTGACCTCTGGAGGTCACTTCCAGCCTCAGACATTCTGTGATTCTGTGAACTACTTTAAGACACTTTGCCAATTTCTTTCTTTAAATTCTGCAAATTGTGATCACCTGAACTTATGCAAGTCCATGTGCTGAACTGAAGCTTATGTCTCTGTTTGTGGCCTAAGTTTGTCTTCCTGTTGGAGTTTTCATGAAGCTATGATGTGTGATGGAGTGTAAAGGTTTCAGGTGGGCACTTTCCTGACACTACCCACCTTCCCCCTTCTTGCCCCCAAACCAAAAAACCAAACCCAATCCACCAAGACAATTATTTCCCTTTTCAGTTTGATAATCTTTGAAAAAATTGAATCAGAAGAGAGCTATGGAGGTCATCTGAATTAAACTGCTTCTCAGAGCAAAGCATCTTCAAAGTCAGATCAGGTTGCTCAGGGAATTACTCAGGTTAATTTTGGATTTTCAAGGATAGATATTCCACTGCCTTTCTGGGGCCAAGTTGCAGTGTTTGTTACACTCCATCTCAACATGCTGTTCCTTTGTGCTCAGCTGGAATTTCCCTTGCTGTGACTTGTGACTGTTGCTTCCTGAGTGTCCACTGCATGCCTCTGGGAAGAGTCTGTCCCCTGCTGCTCTGTATTCCTTCAGACAGTGGGAGACTGTTGAAGTCCACTCTGTCCCTTCACTTTATCTTCTTCTGGCTAAATAAGACCAATTCCCTTAGCTTTTCCTTGCAGGTTATGTGCCTTCAGATCCAGTGGCCCTTCTGCACTCCCTGTCCAATTTACTAGTGTCACTCTTGTATCAGGGGACCCAAACTGGACACAGTACCCAGGTGTGTCCTCAAAAGTGCCAGGTAAGGGGAATAATCACTTGTCTTGACCTCCTGGTTACACTCTTGATAGGGCAGTCAAATTACCATTAGTCCACATCATTGCAGAGCCACTCTAAATTTTGCTTTCTCCAAAGCAAGACAGAGTATACTCGGATCAGTGATCTTTGCAGGTAGTACGTTCTTGTTCGGTGGGCAATGGTACGCCACATTTCCTAGACAGTTGGCTATTGAGTCTTACAGGATACACAGCGTGTTCCTCGGCAAATCAGTTTGGAAACTGATTTGAAGAGTCTCACAGACACTTCATTCCTTGCACATACATAATGTGTTTTCTCTGTGTTGTGTGCCTGGTGCAGGATATCTGAAATCTGTCACTTTGGAGACTGTCATTGTTGGTAGGTTTGTTTGATTTATGATGTAGAGAATTTCATATTGAGGAGCTGTTAGAACTTGTATAGTTTAAAAAAAAAGAAAAAAAGTGTTATGGTCATAAATTCAAGATACTGACTTTGTAGCTGTTTCAGAAGTCTCCATTTTTCCCCACATATCCTATGGAAACCAGTTGCTGCTTCAACCGCACAATCTGGTAATAAATACTAACAATTGGCAACATCTTTATAACTTTAAACAAGACTTTCTTTTCCACTTAGTATTTCCTGTGTAACAGAACATAGTAGAGGTGCTTGCTTTCTGATTGTTGGGAGGTTGCCTGTGTGAGCCCTAATCTGTGTACTTTTGGCACAGTGGCACAGCCTGCTGTGGGCTAACATTTATGAGCAGTCAAATGGACGGGAAGCACATATTCCTGGCACGGCCAGGTCAGTTTGGCAGAGGTAAGGTACCTAAGTGCTTGAACATGTTGGCCTGTAGAAATAACTTTATGGCTTGGAAAGGACGGGTCTGAGTGATGCAGAACTAGTGTGCACAAGTTTTTAAAGGAACTCTTGTTTGATCAGTGCTTCTTATCTGTCAGAAAATGAGCCGAATTGCATTCATAAGTGCTTACTCACATCCTACGTCCTTAAAAATAAGAGAAGGAATGGTTGGATTGTGATAGTAAGAAACCAGAGAAGGGATTTTAGTGGCTGGTTATTGCATTTTTGTGACTGGAAACATCCAAACACTGCACGAACATAATTAGCATTGCAAACAGAATATATGTGAATTTATAGCAGTTCTCTCCATGTTAGTGTATATTTTTTATTTGCTTCTCAGTCCTGTGTTATTCCAGGACTTGTCTCCTCGCTGCTTGATGTTAATTTGCTTGAAGAGTTTATGTATCCCTGGAGAATGGAAGATAGAAACCAGTTATGTTTGAGCCAAACAAAACAGAATTTGTCTCCTATCAAAGGTTAGAAAAGGGACAAAATTGCTCCATTTGTTTCTTTTTCACCCTTCCCTCTACCCTAAAAATAGTAATAAAATGAAAACCCCAACTTCTTGACTATACAGATTAAGCAGAAGCCTTAAGTCAGTTGAAGGCTAGAGATTTTACACTGTCTACATCGGTGTAACTGGACTCAGAATCTGCCCTCGGTTCCAGTCTGTGTCATCTCATCTCTGGTTCAGGAGAGAAATAAATGACAGGGAGTAGAGTTTATTAGAGAATAGATATTTGGAGACAAGGCACAGTTTGTGGCTTCTCGTAACTGAGAGGCACAAGCTTTTTACCACGTCAAATGTCACCTGTCATTCCAGTGCATGTTTGTAGTATATTAAGCTACTTCAAATTGCATATTGCCTGAACTTCTGGACAATTAAGAGATTGCTTATCATTCATGCACTGTTGAAAAAGGGCAGCCTTTCATCTCTTGAGAGTAACTATAAGCAGGAAGAAAAATTAACAGTATGATAAATATGAGGGTTTAAAACTGCTTGAGACTTGCTGACAGTGAATCTTTAGCTTTGGTTTTGTTCAGTGTTCAAGATTATCCTCAGTGACTGACTTTTGATGGTCTTAGACTGATGAGCCAGACATGTTGTGCTTGTGTGTAATGGACATGCTAGCTTTCTTCTTAGGTATGTGTTTGGAGTTTTCCACAGTAGTTCAGGAGATGAGGAGAAAAAGATTAAAGACTTTGACGTTAAAAAAAGACCAGAGTTGCAGGCTGCAAGATAGGAGAGTTTGATCTAGACATGCTTGTATTAAAGCCAACCAAAATCCATAGCCTTATTTAGCAAAGAAAACATACACTTTGGGCAGTAGGCATCAGATACATGAAGCTTGCTTTTGAATTTTGGCCTATTTATATGCACGCAACATTTTTGTGCTGGTACCTCACCCCCATTTAAGGGTAAGTTGATCAGCGAGGTGCAAAGAATTATACATTTTTTTTTTTCCCCCACACTTTTGATTTGGAGAAACTAGAGCAACAATAAAATAATTCAGGTGATATTTTGTGATAAACTGCTTTTATTTTTGTTTTTGACAGTACATCCTTTCGGGCTCTGATGACTTCAATTTGTATATGTGGAGGATTCCTCCAGATCCAGAAGCAGGTAAGTTTTGTTGCTTTGTAATTTGGGGAAGGTGGGGCAGGTGTCTGACAAATACTAGTTTGTTTTTTTGAAAAATTGCTCTTCTCAGACTCTGAATCTAGAGTAATTCTGGTGAAAGCTGGATGGGGGGAGGTTACAAATGCCTAATCCAGTCTCTGGATAGCAACAGCCAATGCCATTTGAATCTTCTGTTGTACTGATTTTCTTTGAATGTCTCTTCTCATATAATGATCATTTAAATCTTCTAGATGAGCTGATGAAGAGAATGAGCTGTAGCTGGAGCAGGGTGTCTTTCCTTCCTCTTATCTACCAACTTTGCTCCCTCTGAGCTGATCTGGGTTCACTGAAAAACTTAGTCTGTTACTAAGACATTCTACTTCGTAATGGTACTTGCAGCATAAAATGGTGCTGGGTTCACAGCGTGCTCCTTATAGCTCCAGTGTATTGGCCTCTCTTCCCCTCTTTCTTTCCTCTTACACCAAAATCCTCCAGCTGATTTCTAATGCAGAAGAGCAGTTATGCTCTCTTACTTTCTGGGTGAAGGAGCACCATCAGCTTGTGGAAATGACCACTTTTAACTCATTTCTCACCCTTTCCCACGTTGGGGCAGATCTGCTAAGCAAATAGCATGAGCTCAGATCTGTGTGAAAGTATAGCAGAGGAGTGTTAAAGAAAAGCATCAGTGTATGTGAGATTAACAGTAGTGTTGTAGATGCCACAGTTGGTCAGTGCCTACTTTGATGTTGTATAGGATTGTGTAGGGTTTGGCAATATGACACTCTAAGCCATACAATGTCAGCGTTCTTGTCTGTTGAAACAAATCACTGTGGTCTTTTAGAAGGGTGTTGAATCTTGATTGAAAGACTCAAGGCTTTATGAAATGTACTACTGTTTCTATTTTTAATGGCTCTGACAGTTTAAACTGTACATTTTAGTGGTATTAAATACAACTGAGCGCTATCCTGTGGTGTCAGGTGCTTTAACAATTGTGAGAGCAAATAACAAGCTGCGTTAGAGGTAACATGAAAATATTTTGTTTCATTTTCAAATGCTGTTACTCACAGCTGTGTAATCCACAGCTGAGAGGGTGACTAGCCTCTAAAAGATTTAGTTAATGGCAGGATTTTGAGATAAATGCCGTTCTTGTTTTGGATTGTTTATTTAAGCAACATTTGGTGTTGCAGTCCAGAAGTCCTGAAGATGGTCCTGCTAAATATACCAGTACCTTGGCCTTCTATCTTTGTGTAGGGTTTATAGAGACTTCTCCCTGTTTCCCTTTTAATTTGTATGATGTCCATTTACGTTTGACACTGGTTTACTACTACTAATAGAATTTCCTCTTAGTTAAAACAAAGGTTGCATACATTTAAATCAGTTATTTATCTGTAAGTTTTTGTGTGGACTGTAGAACTACATTTTATGCACGTTACTATACTTGTCGTGACTCCATTTGTAAATTCTGGATTTGAGATTTTGTGTTTATCTGGCTGTGATGTTCTCAAACTTTTTTCCCAGACAGCTGCAGGTTACAAACTTCTTATATGGCACCTTTGCACAAAGAGTGATAGCTAGAATTACCACAAAACAGTGCTGTATGTGTCTTGGTCAGTTTTCTTGTTTCTGGTTCTTGTAACTTGAGTAAGGGTGTCAGTAAACTTGCAACATTTGAGTTACAAAATTAATTACTTAATGTCAATTGCCCTCAGTGGTTGCCTAACGGCATCCAAAGATCCTGTAGAAGAAACCTGTATGTCTTAAGTCTCTTGTGACTTGAGCAGTGCCCCTATTGAAACATTGTAGCAAAACTAATTAGCTTTGTTCTGTTAGCCCTAAAGATTCGGCTTCTGTGGCAAATAAGTCACTGGCCATCCAAATTGCCCGCAATAGACTTGTGGAAGCTCTTCTTCATTCAGTTCTTCTTGAAGGGTTGTGCCTGTTTTGAATGTGATGAAACATCCTTTTTTAAATCTCATCCTGTGGTTCAGAGTAATTGTTCAGCTAGAGAGGTTGCTGTGCTTCCTTCTTGGAGAAAGAGCCTTTCTGTAGGGATATGGAGACCTTGGAAAGCTTCTGCTTCAGTGCAAAATTCCCTGTTCTCATGTTCTAGCTTAAAATAGAGTGTCTTTGGGCCTGTGATCCAAGGGGGTGGAATGTGGTCTTTCATTTAAAATATTGTGCAAACTAGACAGGATGATGTAATGTCCTGTACTGTTGGTTGGTATTTTAAATAAAAATATCTCTGATTTCTACCTTCCGGTTGAATTCAGACATTATGCTGCTATAAATATTTATGAGAAAACTCTCTTAAGTTATATCAGCTATTTGTAAATAGCAGCTTTTTTGCAAGTGTAAACATTTTTACAAAGCTGCAGCATTAACAACAACTTTGAAATAGATTATTTTGCTTAGGTACAGGTTCATCAAGTACTAGCTATCTAATGGTTAGAAACAGCACTACAAAAAAGATCAAGAAAAGTGGGAAGGACACACCAGTCCAATGACTGCAAGTGTATTTCAAGTTGGAGGAATGCAGTTACCTGTGTAGCTATTTTTCCAGGAAAATGGAGCAAATTCTTCTTCTCTTTTCCAAATAATTATAATTTAGAGGTGTGTTCCCATAGATTGCATTAAGTCATTCCCCCTCAGGTGGAAACTCTGCCAACAGTTTCGTTTGGTCCAGTTGTTAGACAGGATTTTTTCTGGAGCAGGGAGTTCTGTGAAAAAAGGTATTTCCTAATTGCTTAGGAAGCTGTTGAAGAGTTTTATTGTCTGTGTTCCTCCACAATCTTAGATTATTCTGAATAGGCCAGGATTTTCTATGCCAGAAGATTGGTTTATTTTCTACCACCTTTTGTCCTTTCTTGAAGATGGAATGGTTTGCTCATTTTTCCACTTTCTTCTACATCCAAGTACTACCCAGCTTTGTAGTGTGCTTCAGAAGTAATTGCCAATTGTTTGGTGAATTTGTTAGCCAATTTCCTCTTTAAAGTATATATCCCAGTTTTCTTCAGAGGCAGAGTTTCTAGCAAAATTAATACATTAGTCTGGCAGAAGAAAAGCAGTCCTGAGTTTCCACAGCTTTTACTTGACTCCAAGGCAAGCTAGAAGTGAGAAGAGGCATCGGCCCAGCAAGACAGTTAACATATAAACACTTCAGGCAGTATTTAAACCTAACTCCTATAAACATGGTCTCTTAGCTGGTAAAGAATCCCTGTTCAAGACAGAACCTGACCTGTCTTGTGGGGTAATAGAGGGCTTAGTAGACGAAATGTTTTGCAAAATGGAATTTACATTCCTCACCCACTACTCTGAATCATCTTTGCAACTCAGAGCTTGTCTCTTGCTTTTGAAATACTGCTCAAAGATGCTATGTGAGGGATATGATATTTGTTTGCAATTGAGAAGACAGTTGGGGATCCTTCAGTTTACGTGAGCAAGCTGTCACCAGACTTCTGAACTTCACTAAATCAGAACAGCAAACTGCATTTCAAAACATCTTTTTAATTCTTCCTTTGACTGTAACTGCTAGCAAGAAAGGGCCTGTCATTGTGGTCCAGTTGCTAAACTAATTGCACCAATTCTCAGCAGAACTGATGCAATTTTTCTTCCCTTTTTTCCTCCTCATTGGTCATTGTAAATGCAGACACCTCTAGGCTTGAAGAATTCAGCAACAGATCTTTTCACAACATTTGAACAGGGTTATCTCATTGGAGACAGCTTGTGCTTTAAGTTCTCAAAGTTACATGCTGATAAGCAAAGATGAATAATAGATGATTAAGTGTTTCTTAATGTCTTTAGATATTTTTGAGATTTTTATGTATGGGCACACATGCCTATGTACATACCAGTTGGGGGGGGGGGGGGGGAAGCCATCTGGCCCAATGGGGAGCATGCTCTGGAAGGTTTGTATTTTTAAAAAAATTGATTTTTCTGAGACGTGGTCGTAGTTTGTGTCTTCTTTCGGGACAGAGTTGACCATAGTGTGCTATGAACAGCTGGTTCATTATCACAGCAAGTAAGTGGTAGGGCAGTGTAGAAGAGATTCTTGTACTCAGTGGAATTTAGACTGCTTTCTGTGTCATGCATGTTGTCATACCAGAAACTTGCAGAAATGTTCTGTCTAGATGGCATTTATCAGAAAACAAGGCAGTGTAGGGTGCTTTGTAGTGCTCTAGCCAAGTGGAAGAAGGTTCAGCATCCATGAATGTTTCTCTCACTGGCCTTAGCATTTTTAGTGTCTAATTAAGCACTAGAAAGCTGAAGATAACACTGAGCACTGGGAGAGGCTGGAGAAGCCTTAGTCCCCAGCAATTAGCTATCTGATTGTACCAGAGCTCCTTCTTCATTCTATTGAATGTGTTTGCAGCTACCAGTACAAAATAAATGCGCAGACAAGCTGTTTTCACACCTCCATTGTCAAAAACAGCTATCAGTTCTGTGATGATTTCACGTATTTTATTCCCTTCATGTTCAGAAAGCCTAGTTGTTGGTAGTTCGTGTGGTCCCAATAACACTGTGAAAATCATTGCGACTTACGCAGTTAAACACACCAAAAGAGCAATCTCTCTCAGACCATGAGAGGGAACAGAATGGAAGGGGTGTGCCAACATTTATTTCTGTGGTAATTTTGTCTTAGCTTTCATATTGTTGTTCAGCTCTACTGCTGATAACAATGGGGAGGGGTGGGGGGGTGGGGGTTGGTATAGATAAGATGTAGATAGATATGGGAGATATTTAGCAGCAACAAAAAAAAGGAGAAAATATACTTATAAAAATAGCCACTACCACTACAGCATTCTACCTATTCTGTAGCTGTTTAAATATGAATTTTTTCTTTGGCTTTTGGAACCTCTGCAGAGGTACAAGGCCACCACGGGGCTGGTTCTAGGTGTAGGTTAAGCAAAATGGGTGTTTGCCTGGAAGAGCAGCCTGCCTGAGTCAGGTGCTGGGCCAGCCCACTGCTCCATGTGCTTAAGCTAAAGCTTTGCAAGGCCACAATG